GAGGTCTGGGAGTGACAGGAGGAGGTCTGGGCGCGACAGGAGGAGGTCTGGGTGCAGCAGGAGGAGGTCTGGGCACGACAGGAGGAGGTCTGGGAGTGACAGGAGGAGGTCTGGGCATGGCAAGAGGAGGTCTGGGAGTGACAGGAGGAGGTCTGGGCATGGCAGGAGGTCTAGGAGCGGCAGGAGGAGGTCTGGGAGTGACAGGAGGAGGTCTGGGCGTGGCAGGAGGAGGTCTAGGAGTGGCAGGAGGAGGTCTGGGCATGGCAGGAGGAGGTCTGGGCGTGGCAGGAGGAGGTCTAGGAGCGGCAGGAGGAGGTCTGGGCGCGACAGGAGGAGGTCTGGGCGCGACAGGAGGAGGTCTGGGCGCCAGTGGCTAAGGAAGCTCAGGACTGAGCTCAGCAGGTGGGATGGAGCATCTCCCGTGGAAGTAGGCGGAATCACAAACTGTGGTCCAAAGGGAACGGTGTCAGCCTGAGCCCCTCATCGCTACCCAGGTTGAGTGCAGCCCCGACAGGCGGCAGCTGCAGTGCGGTGGGCGTGAGAGCTGCAGCGCGCCATCGCTCTTGCCGTAGAGCTGAGCAGATGGGCTTTTGAAGCGAAGCTCCTCTGGAGTCCCTAAGGGGTTTTTCGTTTGCTTTTATTTTTGTCCGGAGGTGGGGTACTAGGAGTGTACCCAGGGCTTTCGCAGAGTTACATCCCCAGCCCTTTTTGCTTTTTGAGATGGGGTCTCACTCAGTCTCCAAGATGGCCAGGCTGGGGCTGAGCTTGCCTTGTTCTTGCCTCAGCCTCCAGAGTGCTGACGTGACAGGCGTGGACTGCCACACCTGGCTGTGACTGAGGGTGTTTAAGCAGATCAGCTCTAATGACTTCTAACTTTTGATTATGAACTACTATTTCAAGTTGTGAGAAAGGCCACACTAGGAAACGGGATGGGACCCTGAAGGGTACCTTTAAGCGATCCCTTGTGGCCTATCCCGGGAAAGGAGGCCCTGGACGGTGCTCACAGGTGACAGCCAGGATTCCTCATCCCTGGTCAGCTCAGAGGCAGTAGATACCTTCCTGCCATCTAGTGCTCTTTTTCGTTGGTAGCTGACCGACTCTGGCAGATACAGCCAGCCGGTGGGGCTCTTGGGATGCGGCATCCATGGTGGTAAGATGGGCCGCACATCGTTGCTGGTTCGGCGCAAGGCCTTGAATAGATCTCTTACATTTTCCGGGCCTCAGCTAGACTCACAATCAAGTGACGCAAACTGTATTTTTCAAACTGTCCTGAATAACTTTCTTACACAGCTCAGAGAAGTTTGGGTTTTAATGTCACAGAAGACACACATGTAGCCAGTTGTGGCATAGTGCAGCGACAGCACAATGCCTGAACGTCGTGGGCCTTGAGTCCGTGGGTTGGGGTGCCGACCAGTGTGAGAGCACATGGAGCCTTCGGGAGATGACCGAATTGCTGAGAGGAGACTTCGCCGGTGACAGTGGCAAGGCCAGGCCCGAGCTTGGTCAGGCCACCAGGACACTGCTCTGCCTTTTTCTGTGTAATGAGAAATTAGGTGTCATCCTCTCCAGCCTTATTTTGCACTGCTTTCTTCTGCCCGGCCTCACCGTTTCCTGAATCATTGCTTAGGCGTTCCTGGGCATCTGTGTACCAGTGGTGGGCGATGGAAGCCCAGAAGCCGTGCCAGTCATTAGAAGCCCAGTCAGCAATTTAAATGTAGTTTTGGGGCTGGGGAGATGGCTCAGTAGAATAAGCGCTTGCCTGGCAAGCACAGGGGGCTGAGTTCAATCCCTGGTTCCACAAAAAAAAAAAAAAAAAAAGTAGTTTTGAATATCTACGACTAGATGACCCACACAGATGAACAGTGCCCAACTCAAAGGGGTGTTTTCAATTTCAAAAATATTCTCCACTTTTATTGTCTAAAATCTTACTGCTTTTACCTTTAGAAGCAGGCAGAGGATAGTTGTATTTTACTTCGACTTTGAATGATTGTTATCTGCTAATGAGCCCTAAGGTTAGATTGCCTTTACTCGCGTAGTCTGCTGACAGGAGACGGGGTGAGGAAGTTAGCTTCCTGTCTCAAGGAACTTGCAGCTCAGGGGCAGAAGCCAGGGGGAAGAGACGCCTGGTGGCATAAGGTTGTACTCTAGTGTTAGGGAATGCAACAGCCTGCGCGGTGCCCCAGGCTCCAGCGTGATTCGTCACCAGGCTCTTCTGCTGCGGGGAGGGCGATCCAGGATGGGTTTCTCGCCGGTGGAATCAGCAGCTGCCTTTGGGGTTCATCCTGGCCTAGGTGCCCGCGGGTTTGCGGGCCAGTGGCAGCTCCTTGCCAGCTAGCGATAGATCCAGCTTCCGGACTGAAGTCAAAACCCACCTAAAGAAGCCAGTCCGCACACTCTGATGGAAAGTCCAGGGGCATGTCTGTCCCCAGGCTTTCATGAGCAGGGGTCTCAGACAGCAGGGCTCACTCACCTTTTCCTGAAGGGGAATTCCCCTCCCCCAAATTCAATTTCATTGATACACATGAAGATATCCAAACTAAACTATTTTATATATCTAGAGCTAAATGTTATAAATGTGACTTTTCTGCAAATTATAATTTTCCTGCAACACTGATAAAAATCTTAACAGGAAAAACAAAAAAAGAAAGAAAAATAATCCTCGGGCAGCTGACCTGTCGATGGGCGTCCGCTGCTCGGTGCGTTCTCCCACGTGCCCAGCTCCGGGAATTCCCCCAGCAGACAGGCAAAGCACAGATGCTGTTTATGCCGCGGGGTGGGTGGCTTCTGCGTCTGGAGCGCTTCGTTTGAAAACAGCACGCGCTCGAGCGAGATGAGCCAGCCAGGACGTGGGAGGAAAGGGACTGACAGCATCCGGAATTCTAGCCAGCAGCGCTCCAGATGAAGAAGAGAAGGCCCTCCGGGCCCTGTGCGCCACTCAGGTTTCCCGGGAGCACAGCGGCGAGGAAGGGCATCTTTTCTTTTTCTTGTTACGAATATTACAGCAAGACCCAGAGGGAAAGATTCAGAGGCCGTGAGTCCGAAGCGCGGCTAAGCCTGTCGTCTCCGCGGGACGCAGGTGCGACGCACCCCCGCCCCACGCGCGC